CCAATATTTCCAGATCAGTTAGGACGCAATTTGGGCTTATCCAAAAAAACAAGAGGAGTGGGGCAAGCGATGGCTGCCGTCGATATCTATCCACGTGGTAAGTTAGGTACTCAGTCTTTATTTATTTATTATCTATGTACAATTGATCGATGACATAGACCTACTTTATTTCTTCATTATTTATTTATTTATATATTTGTCCGGGGCATCTAGACTACAATGTGTGGTTATGGTGGGCTCAGCGGTGAGGTCCCCATTAGCGAATAGGATTTTGGATGACGCATCTTAATCTGGACGTGTTTTATGCAGAGATGCAAAAAAGTAGACCAATCGTGATGTTCTGCCCCTCTCCACAAATATGACCTCGTTTGGCCCTGGCATGGCCGGGCCGCCCGGGCAGACAATGTGACCCGGGCGGCCCCGCTGGCAGCCCAATATTATTATTGTTATTATTATTTTTTAAAGGGCGATGGCCTTGAAATATCATGATGGAACTGACTGTTTTCACAGCCAAAAAATACACTTGAGGGTAGTGGTTGGTGCTCACCTCAGCCAAAAAATACACTCCAGACACGTCGCTGGCACTAGAGGCACAGCATGGCCGCCTAGTGATATTTGACGATATAAATGAACCGACAGTCTGTAGAGTTTTCCATCCCGTGTGAGTGAGTGATATTCTGCTTTGATTTTCGTCACAGGTACCTTGAGGGCAGTGGTTGTTCCCACCACCTCAGAGGGGTATCAGTTGTCGGGCAGTGGTTGATGATTAACCACAGCCGGGGTTAAGGTGGATTATAACTTACAGTGTACTCAGTCAGTTAGGGGATTCTGCAGACTGTTTGTTGAGGGTTCAGCCTCTACTGATGAGTCAGTGGATGAAACTCCGACGAAACAGTTTGCCATAGCCCCTCGTTTGTTGTTGTCCTCTTCTCCCTCCCTCTCTGCCTACAGTTTACCAGGCAGCTGTGCTCTGTTTGACTATATATATATATATATATATATAAATGGCAGTAAAGGCAAAAAGCCAAGAAACTTTAATAAAATGAGGAATATACCAAGAATGCAAGATAACAAATTATATATATCTGTGCAAGTGTGCCTCTTCGGCGGCAGACGGGTGTGCAGGCACTTGGCACTGAACCACGCCAACGTGGCCAACCTTGCATCTTCTACTATACTGTCTTTCTCTATTCTTTTGTTTTATGGATGGTTTGTGATGATGCAGGGATGGAATGAGAGAGAGAATTTGGGGTTTTAAACACACACACACACACACACACACACACACACACACACACACACACACACACACACACGTACATGTGATGTGGACAGCTTGTGTTCGACGGCAGTCAAGATGGGAGCTTTGTACATGAGAGGCGCAGTAAAAGTGGAGCTGCAAGAACAAATGAAAGGCGTATCCCAAAGAAAGCCAAAGTGAACACAGTTAAGAAAGGGATTTAAACCACCAGTACTTAATGCGCCACGATTTTAGGAAACGTACGGGCTATTACAGAAACGCTCAAATGCATTCGAGAAGAAACGTTTCTACTCTATTTTTTCCCGCGGGTGATAGCTGGGCCAAGTACTGGTGGTTTAAATGCTTCTATTATGCTCCGTGTTGCTTGCTACAGAGGCAAGACTGTTTCATTGTTGGATTGTCTCAACTCACTTGCATTTGTTCTGTGCGACAGGGAATAAAGCCGCTTCGATTTGGGATGTGCTTAACTGGGTGGAATCTACTACGTCTTCACCTGAATACAACGTACGGTGATTATTGCTGTACCTAGACTCAAAGTTGCCCCAAATACATACAGCTATAATGACCGTACGTTGTATTCGGGTGAAGACAGTAATCTGGGTGGAATGGGGGCTGTTGTGGTGAATATTCAAAACACAGGTGATGGCCAAAGACCGTACTAATACCGAAGGAGGGGGGGGAGCAAAGCCAACTATGCCAGACCATGCCAACAATTTCAGTTCGTTGGCACTAAAAAAAAAAAAAAAAAAAAAAAAAAAGCGTGCCCAGGCGGTTAGTAGGGATTCAACCTGAGACCTCCTGAAGGCCACTTGGTGTCTCCCAGCTGAGTTACACCACTTGGTCAATGATTTAGTTTTCAAAACTTCTTTATTTTTTTATTTTTATTTTTTGGTTTTGTATCTACTGCATGACGACTTAATGCTCCAAACTACTGGGCTAGCTCCTACCCACCGTCAGCGGAGGATCTACACAGCATCCATCCTCCAAGGGCCTCAGCTTTACCAGTCACCACATGCACAAAAAAAAAAACAAACTATGGCCGTGTTTCTTTTCAAGTTATTGCGGAAGATTCCTTCTCATTTTGCACATCTGACGAGTGGTGGAGTGAGGTTTAAATATATTATAGTGGAAGATTCATTGTCATTTTGCAAGTTATAGTGGAAGATTCATTCTCATTTTGCAAGTTATAGTGGACGATTCAGTCTCAAATGTGTTGCACATTTGGCCGTGTATCTTTTAAGTGAGCTCCCGTTAGCGCCTGAATCTGGAGGGGTATTAAGCAGCCATGCAGAACAGCAGATCAATTCCCGTTTTCTGCACCTCCCACCAAACGCGTCCAGGTCGAGGTTGCAGGTGTCAAATCCAGTCCCCCAGTCCCCTTTCCTTGTGGGAGCTCGAGAGCGTACATGAAACCTCGACCTATGAGGTCCACTGTCCCTCATAGGGATCAGAGCCAAGTAGACAGGTACCTTTTTCCGAGAAAAAGAGGGAAAAAAAAGTAGACAGGGAGGGGGTTGTACTACTGATTCTCCTCTGACGAAGGGATTTACTGTGGCTTGAGCTCAATCCGTAAACGCTTTTTGCCGTTTTGCCTTTTTGCTTCCTTCTCTTGCAAGGCAGGTGGGTCAAACCCCTGATACGACAGAATCAGACAGGAGGGGTCACATTTTTGAAGTCTTGAACCACCCACGGTACCTTTCCCACGTATCGGCTGCGGCCAGAAAAAGCTGGCGGAAACGAAAAACGGGCCGCCGATGAATTTATCATCCGCGGCTCGATCCTGCTTGGCATCCGTGTAACCCCCCTGTGTAACCCCGCGCGCAATTGATTTTCAAGCGGGGAAAGGTACTCGTGGTGTACTGGTGGTTTACCGTTTGAACCGGTCGTTCGGGCCTTTAAGGATTTGGCCACCAGGCGCGTAAGGAACACCCAGCCCTTTTAGACGGTTGGCTATAATCCTGCTTGGCTTCCGTGTAACCTGGCACGGAACTGATTTGATTTTCAAGCGCGGAGGCATGCTGGTGGTTTGACCTTTGAACTGGTTCTTCGGGCGTTTAAACCACCAGTACATGCCTCACATCGGCCGCGCGGCCGTGTCAGAGGCTGAAAAGAGACACCGGCTGCCAATTTCTTTTGTCGATGGTGCGCTGCACCCACTTTTCCAGATAGGTGACGAGTTTATTTTCAGCAAGGCTGGGGCGGCGGACTCGCGGTTTAAGGATTTGGCCGCCAGGTGCGTAAGGAATACCCAGCTGGTTTACGTTGGCAATGCGTTCTATTAGACCACTAGTACCTTTGGCGCGTGGGAAAATAGCGGGGCTCGGGTGGGCCTCCTACCTTTTCGGAGGCGGTAACGAAACGACGGCCGCCGATCAGATTTATCAATGGCAGCCGTTGTCAGGCCCGGCCTCCGACATTTTAGGAGTTTGGGAAAATGTCCACTTTTCCCTACTTTCCCAACACTGGCGGAGGTACTTTGTACGCGAGAACCTCCTGGGACTCGGAAGTTACGGCCACACTCCGTAAAAGCATTCATGTAAGCATCGTTTGAAGTGATCTTCTGCGCCATTTGCTCTCACTCTCTTCCCCACGCATGAAGGCTAGCTATCTGGACAGTCGTTTGAAGTGATCTTCTGCGCCATTTGCTCTCACTCTCTTCCCCACGCATGAAGGCTAGCTATCTGGACAGTAGTGCACCTAACAGCACCCCAGATTCATATGGTCCATGAATGGCATATCCAATCTTGTCATCTGCTATGTTCCTACTGTCTTCACCCGAATAGAACCCCCGGTCGTTATTTCTGTATTAGGTGCAACTTTCACTACAGGTACGACGATAATCACCGGGCATTCTATTCGGGTGAGGACGGTAGTTCAATCAGTACAGACGTCAAACCTAGGCTGGTTTTTCGGGTGCCCAAGCATCCAACTTGTGCCTGAATACACTCCTGAATGCCTGCCCGGGCATGGACCTCAGGCAGGGTTCCGGATGGCTCTAGCACCCCAAATGTAAGTTACAAATCCGGATATCCGGGCACCCTTGTTTATCCGGATTTGCAGGGTATTTGGATTTGCATGCCGGATAATACTGCCCGGATGAAACCGGATTAAGTATTTCCGGAGGGTAAATAATATGGTACTTTTCCAAAAAAACAAAACATCTCAAAACAATCTGAAAAAAAAGCTGAGTACGGACGCCGCCCGGCCGGGGTGTTGGGGACTCTGCATGTATGTTGCCTGCTTTTTGCTGCATGTGTGAAACCAAGTACATACTGCTCCCGCTGGCCATGCTGCTGCAACCACCTCCTCCCCTGGTTAAATGGTAGGATGGGCGGATGGAGGGAGACCGCTTTACAATGTCGAAAAAGAAGAAGAAGAAGAGGAAGCAGAAGATAGATGGAAGGATGGAGATAGGGAGGGAGGGATGGCGAGATGAGTGGATGGAGTGATAGCTGTCTCTTATACACATCTAGATGTGTATAAGAGACAGGGTTAAATGGTAGGATGGGCGGATGGAGGGAGACCGCTTTACAATGTCGAAAAAGAAGAAGAAGAAGAGGAAGCAGAAGATAGATGGAAGGATGGAGATAGGGAGGGAGGGATGGCGAGATGAGTGGATGGAGTGATAGAGGGATGAAGGCGGACTGTTTAATATATGGAGTGGTGGATAGATGGAAGGGGGTTGGGGTTTGTTGAGGGATGGCGAGATGGGAGTGAGATTGACTGACAATGTTGACGAAGATAAACAAAACAGCAGCAGAGGAAGATGGAGGGATGGAGGGATGGAGGGAGAGTGTTTGGCAATGCCCAAGAAGAAGGAAAAAGAAAAAGAATAAGATGGATGGATGGATCGAGGGAGGGAGGGAGGGATGGCAAGATGGGAGGGAGGGAAGGATGGCGAGATGGCGAGGGAGGGACGGAGGGACTATGACAAGATGGCCAGATGGGAGGGACTATGCCGAGACGGGAGGGAGGGAGGGATGGCGAGATACTATGGCGAGGTGGGGATATGGGAGGGAGGGAGGGATGCCGAGATGGAGAGGGAGGGAGGGAGTATGGCGAGATGTGGAGATGGGACGGACTATGGCGAGATGGGAGGGAGGGAGGGATGGCGAGATGGTGACCTACCAAACGATGGACAAGATGGCGGCGGCGGTAGGGCAGTATGGTGTGATGGCGGGGTATGGCGGCGGGCTGTGGCGGTGGCGGCAGGGCGGTATGGTGTGATGGCGGGGTATGGCGGCAGGCTGTGGCGGCGGCCCTACAAGATGAAGAAGAAAAAGAAGAAGAAGAAGAAGAAGATGGTGGTGGCGGTTGGGCGGTATGGTGGCGGGCTGTGGCGATGGTCGTACAAGAAGAAGAAGAAGAAGAAGAAGAAGAAGATGGCGGCGGCGGTAGGGCGGTATCGTATGGTGGCGGGGTATGGTGGCGGGCTGTGGCGGCGGTCCTACAAGAAGAAGAAGAAGAAGAAGATGGCGGCAGGGCGGTATGGTTTTGTGGCGGGGTATGGCGGCGGGCTGTGGCGGCGGTCCTACAAGAAGAAGAAGAAGAAGAAGAAGAAGAAAAGGAAGAAAAAGAAGAAGAAGAAGAAGAAGAAGAAGAAGAAGAAGATGATGATGATGAGAGGGGAGGGAGGAGGAGGAGGAGACGAGAGGCGGAGGAATGATCGGCGAAGAAGAAGAAGAAGAAGAAGAAGAAGAAGAAGAAGAAGAGGATGACTAGCGGAGCAGTTTTTTTTTTTTTTTTTTTTCTCTTACCTGTCGTTTATCTCGCGACCTATCGCTGATGAATGTAAAGGAAGAAAAAAAAGATAGTCGGAAGAGGAGGAGGAGGAGAGAAGAAGAAGAAGAAGAAGAAGAAGAAGAAGAAGAAGAAGATGAGGGGGAGGACGGCGACGAGAGATGGTGAAGAAGAAGAAGAATAAGATGAGAGGGGGAGGAGGAGGAGGACTGAAGAAGTCGTGGAAGAAGAAAAGCAGAAGAGGTAGAAGAAGAAGAAGAAGAAGAAGAAGAAGAAGAAGAAGAAGAAGAAGAAGAAGATGAGAAGGGGAGGAGGAGGAGGAGAGAAGAAGAAGAAGAATGAGCGGAGGAGGAGGAGGGAAGAAGAAGAAGAAGAAGAAGAAGAAGAAGGAGAAGAAGAAGAAGAAGAACAGACCGGCACTCCACGTCGACGGGCGGCAGGGGTTGTCGGCAGGCAGGAGCACCGCGATGGAGGACGCTGGTGACGGGCGACGGGCGACACGACGACGACGGGCGAGTAAAGATCCCAGGCAATGGCGACGACTGGCCCAGGCAATGGCGACGAGGGGCAGCTACTTCGACGACGGGCGACACGACGACGACGGGCGAGTAAAGATCCCAGGCAATGGCGACGAGGGGCAGCTACTTCGACGACGGGCGACTCGACGACGAACGCAGCCGGCTACAGCAGGTGTCAACGCCCGTTTGGACAGCGAATGCAGGCCGCCCCAGCCAGTGGATTGTTCAGACGGGGCCTCCGTTTTCCCTCCAAAAACGAACGGCGCTCTGGCCGTTGATGGATGATCGACAGCCAGAGGGCCGTCCCAAATTAAAAAAAAAAAAACAGGCCTCAGGGCCCGATGCGCTGTTTTCTGGCCGTGGTCGGACCCGGTAGGCCCTGGGGAGGTGAAATCTCCCCGAATGGGGGTCGGGAACCCCCCGCCAACAAGGTGTGCTGCGGTGGCCTGGCCCCCGACCGGGCCACCCGCCTGGCCAGGCCGCCCGGGAACTACCCCGAGCAGGCGCCAGTCGGCCGGGCGGCCCGGATCCGTACACAGAAAAAAAGTATGTTGTAGATTATAACAATGCCAACAACTTTTGCCTGAAGGTCATTTCAAAACAGGAAAATGTAATTTAATTTGTAATTTTTTGTTATCCGAAATTTATCCGGAAATTCCGGACAAACCTTTTCCACCCCCGGATGTTCCAGCCAGATAGTCCCTACAGTTAATCCGGCTGGACATGCCATGCTACCTAGCCCAAAAGGGGAAAAAAAAAACAAAAAAAAAGGGAAGAGAATAATGATGTTTAGAATTGCAATGGAAACGACATTTGGCTGAGGGTCATATGATTGGTCATCACCGAATGGAAGATCAAAAAAGGAAAGGGGTAACTTCGGCGCAGTCACGAAAACAGTTTGTAATTGCATTCGAAACTGCTTTTTAGCAGTTTAGTCAGGGCCCGAGTTTCAATTGCAGTTGAAACTCGGGCTGCCTTTCCGTAGCAGTCCAGTCAGGGCCCTCGTCTATCCACGAACAGCAGATAAAAAACAAAACAAAAAAAGCATCCCTTAAGCTGTGATTGCGGTCCGATACAGGATGCTACAGTACTTGTCTGGAACTCGATGAAGCGTGGAATCCGCCCTGCCTGGCTGGCAGGGCGCTACAGGGACCTCACAACAAAAAACAAAAAAGGAAAACGACCTGTTTCATGTTCCTCACTTTACATTCGTCAAAGCACTGATGACCTGACGGCCTTCCCGACGTAGGTGGATTCGAAGTTCCTCGTTGCTTTACTTTTTTATTTCTTCTTTTTCTTTTTTCTTTTTTTGGCCTCCATCCCTGCCCCGAGGCCCCCACTTTTCGGAGTAGGCTACTCTTGAGACTTCGCGTTAGCCTGTGAAGGGTAGTGCCTGCGAATCTCTGCTGTGGCCCAGACATCTTGGCCCTGGCCAATCTGGGGTGTGGCCGAGACCTCTCGGCCGTGGCCAGTCTGGGGTTTGGCCGAGACATCTCGGCCGTGGCCCAACCATGGGGCTGTTTTTTTTTTTTTTTTTTCCCAGCCGCGGCGCGGCGCGACGCGGCAGGTGACCGAAAAAAAAAAAAGAAAAAAAAAAGGCCATGTGCCGAACTGAACTGCTAGAAAAAGCCAGCCCGAGTTTCAAACTGCTGAACGCAGTTTCAAATGCAATTGAAACTCGGGCCCTGACTAAACTGCTAAAAAGCAGTTTCAAATGCAATTACAAACTGTAACCCTGACTGCGCCGTAGTTTTCTCAAAAGGAAAATAACAGAATCCGACTAAGGCACACCTTTTAAACCCCTTGAGCCCCTTAAAAACCAATTTACCTACTACAACCCCCCCCCCCCCCCCCCCCCCCCCCCCCCCCCCCCCCCCCCCCCCCCCCCCCCTTCCTTCCTTGACAGCCACCATTAAGGAGCCTGGATTTGGGGCCCCCGGGCATGCGTGGAAAACCTCTACCCCCCCAAAAAAGAGATGGGAGACCTCTACCCCCCAAAAAAGAGATGGAAAACCTACCCCCCAAAAAAGAGATGATTTTGGCCTGCATGAGTAGCCCTGTGCAGGTGACCCATGGGCGACTTGCCCGGGCTGCATGCCAGTTTTGGCCGTAGATCCGCAAGCAAGATCAACGGCCAGAAAAGATGAATAAGCATAAGTGGGATGTGACCCCTGAACATCGCTCCATCGCACGAGGGACCCAAGAGGAATTAGGTATGAAAACCTCCGCCGTTTTTGACGAGCACAACCCCTCTTATGAGGTACTTGGCTGCATTGATTTTATGAGGGTAACAACAATTTTATGAGGGACCCTAGATGCAGGGGAGGTGATCATGAAAACCAACAAGCAGACGCACAAGTGTCGATGAATTGCAGCGACCAAAACGGAGAAGAAGAAAGAAAGAAAGAAAGACCGAAGAGAGTACAAGCAGCTGGGCCAAAACGGGATTTTGCAAGGATGTAATGTGACGAGGATGCGGAAATAACTTCAAATACGTCAGGAACAAAGTGACAGCGAAATATGCAAAGCAAACTCTTCCCCTACCTCCCCCTCCCAACGATCCTTCCACGGGCTCACCTACGGACACCTTGTTACGCCTTATCGCCTTCTTCAAAATTATAAGGTTTGATGAACTTCTCACAGCACCCCAGCGCCATCAGGGACGACTGCGATCCAGACACTTCGCCGGAACATTCAGCGAACTCTTCAGCTCTAGGTCATTTTAATTATTTTTTGCAATTAATTGTACTGACAAAATAATCCATACCAGGGGCCAAGTCCCACTAGCCGCATTGAACCACCTCCACGCCTGAATCTGGACGTGTTTTGTGGAGACGTGCAGTTAAGGAAACTGAACACCGTTTCTGCACATCTCCGAAAAAGCGTCCAGATTCAGGCATTGAGGAATTTGAGGTAGCTCAACGCTGCTAGTGGGACTTGGCCCCAGGTAAAAGATCTAGAAGAAGAATGTTGATCTCCTAGCAAAAGGAAACTACTCTATAATCCTGACCGAAGAAAGACACGATTCGATCAAATAAACCGAACCGTACACGCTTGTCCCATGAACCCTGCTAAGTACACTCCTGAATGTAGAAACAAAAGTGTGGAAAGTAACCAACTGGCCGTCAGTTGGTACACCAATGAACTGGTGAAATATGAATCAGAGCCAAGTTCGAATCCAGATACAACAATCAGATGACCAGAATGAAATCATGATTCCGAATTACCTGGGGCCGGTCAGTTCAGCGATGACATCTCAAGGCCGTCGCCCTTTGAAAAAAACACAAGACAGAAGGGAAAACTAGGGTACGGTCGCGGTGTCGATCTAAAAATGCGTGTTTGAGTCACGATTTCGCAAATGTTAAGTGTCAAATAGGGGAAATCAGGAATATGTATACAAGCCAGCCTTAGGGTCGGGTGGGGATGTGTTGTATTTGAGCGATGCCTGAACTGGACTTAAACCTGAAATCGTGACTGCGCCCTAGTTACAGTGGAACTAGTGTGAAGCCCAGAGTCTGGTAGAGGCCGGTGACTAGGCACACATTGATCGCCTGAAGCGGTCAGCCATGGTTGTCCTGAAGGAACGAGGCTACCTTTTCCAGTGCAAAATGTTGAGGTCGCATCTGTTTGTTGCATCGGTGCGCTCAAGGTCCTAGGATAAGCTGATATACCAACATGGTGTTGAATCGCCGTTGATCGAATGGGTGGTGATGGTCGTTTCGGTAGAATGGGACAACGTGAAATCACGTCGCCTGAGAATTACCGTGGCGTGTACCCTTCACCGCAGTGCAACGCACGAGGGTCATGGGTTAATGCAGTACAGGCCGACTGATGCAGGAGCTAGACCGATCAGTGGCGCAAGACCACGAGTTCCAAATGAGCCCCCCGTTAGCATTGTCGTGGTCTTGCGCCACTGTCCTTGCCGTGTGTCTGTGTGTCCGTCATGAGGCTGATGAACCCTTAAAGCAGCAGTACATGGGCAGCGGGAAGGCGCGCGCCTGACACCTGAAATTCTGAAGGCGCAAAATGAAAACGCGACTGCCGATCAAATTTATTAACGGCGGGCCCGGCGTTTGACGTTTCGGCCTCGTTTTCTTGTGACGACAAGTCTCGGGCTGCAAGGCTGGGGCCGTCCGTGTACTTGTGGGTTAAACCGCCAGTACTTGGCCCAGCTATCGGGCGTGGAAAAAAAATAGTTGGATGAATTTGGGCGCTCCTGTAGTGGCCCGTACGTTTCCTAAAATCGTGGCGCGTTAACGGGCACGAATTTGGGAAGTACTGTTGGTTTAACAGCATACAGAATCTCTTTCAGAAAGCTATAAAGGGTGTATGTGCTCGGGCTAAGGAGCAATCGTCCGATTTATTGGTTGGGAAATTCACCCATCCGTTGGAAACGGGGTCCAACATCTCATCTGACCACTGAGGTCGGTCGCTTCAGGAGGGTTTCATCATGCTCGGGCTATTACGGAGCCACGTTTCCCGAAACTTTATTTTTCCCTCCCCTAAAAATATGAGCCATTGAACGGCAGGGGCTTG